ATCACAGATCCAAGTATAAAGAGAATGAGTTTGTATACACTGATTATGACAGAAACAGTCTATTAACAGAAAATTTTAAATCCATCCCCCTTAAACATTTTTATAGTGGAACAGTTTAGAGCTGCTGTATTTCAACTTCCACACAATCAGAATAGTAACTTCTGTTATACCAAGAAATTTGACCACCGTTGACAATCGTTTCTCTGTGTATGTGAAAGAGTTACGGTGATAAAAACCATTTCAATTATTTTGAAGATGTCAATGTGATCAATTTCACTGATAGAGAGAGAGCACATACACACACCCCTTTACCACATTGTAGAGTCTTACCATTTCCTGGGTAGACGTTTTAATTCACTGCTGCATCTGCCATAAATGCTAAATTAAGAATAATTGTTTCAGGAACCTATTTGCATTATGAATGATCACTGCCAAAATATAAACCACACTAATGTAAATACATAGAAAATTATAACAAATGTAGCAACACTAAAAAGGTCAACTTATACTGAAGCCTCTTATTAATTTAGGTGGTAGGGATGTTGTGATTCTTCATGCCTTTAAGAACATGCACATATTCAACAGATTTGTCCCTCCTAACCTCACCACCAAAAGTTTCTCAGTTAAACTGATTAAAGCTGGTTGTCAAACATACTGCCCATGGGCTGGATATGGTGTGCTTGATGTATTTACGTTTCCCACAGGACATGTTCAGACTGTGTAGAATTTCAGCTCTCTTTTTCTTCTTTAAATAAGTTCCTAATCCTAATAGTTAAAAAAAAAAAAGTTTGTAAATGTGAACTTAGCTAAACTGCTGCAATGACAGGTGCCTGAGTCTGCAGACAGCTGGAAACAGTGACTGAGGAGCATGCACTCCCCTTCTTCCTATTAATCTCATGGGGGGGGGGGGGGGGGGGAAGCCTGGTGGCTCAGATCTAAAATCCAGTGACAACATTTCAGTGTCAACATCAACTATTTTCAGCTGATCATTTTCATGGATAGAATGGGGAAGGGGGTGTGGGAGGTAAGCTTACAAGGAGGTGGGAAATGGGAGTTGCTTCAGGTAGGGAAATGCAGAGGGAAAAAGAGTAAACAGACAGGGAAGATGGAGAGAGAAAGAAAGGAGATTGGGGGGGGAAAAAACAGAGGGCAGAAACAGTGGCTCTAAAAGGGGGGCATATTTTTCCTACTGAATGTTGCTGAATGTGACAATAAAGTACTAAATGAAGAATACCTACGTTTAGTTACTACAAAAAGGGCAGATCCTTCCCTTGATCTCACTGCAAAGCTCCTAGTGACATCAATGTCAGACTGGTCTGGATCGAGAAGAATCTGAAGTCCTCTATGCCCCAGACCATGAACCATAATTTAACATGCAATTCAGCCCTCTGAGCCAAATGAGTTTGACACCACAGAATTAAAGATATGTAGTATTTTTCAGTCTAAGGTTGCTAAAAAGTTTACCAATACCTAACACAAATAGAGCTCTATTCATGATTTTAGTAAGTTAAAAAATAAACTTGTTTCAATTAAAATTTAAGTGTTGTCGTAAATTTTTGGAAACTTAACTGCTGATGTGCAAAACCCAGAAAATGAAATCATCTACAAACTGATCAACTTCACTGTTTTAGTTTCATTCTCCATGTTGAATAAAATGCAAAACAGCAGCAGCATAAATGTTGAGTTAACTATTATACCCCAGCTGAGAGATCCAAATAGTCACAGCTCAAACTGGCTGCAATTTTTTAACATGCCGAACATCAACACAAGGCCCTATGCACCATTTATGCCCACTTCAACTCCAAATTAAAGATATATGGGATTTAAATGTTGCTTTAGGAAGTGCCCTGTTAACTGGCCCCTCTAATCAGGCATGAATTTCATCCACTATCTTAAGAGCTGCATTCTTTAAACTATAAGGCCTGATCCATTGCTCACTGCAGTCAATGGGAATGAACTGATTTCAGCAGGTTCTGATTGGACACATAGCGAAATGGATGTAACTGCATTCATAATTAGTTTGGAACCACCAAGAAGTCTCTCAGAGTACTGAATAAGAATAAAGAATATATGCAGCAAGATTAAATTATGTTACAAAAAGTAACTTATTTTTAGAACATTCGATTTAGCAGGGTATAATTTCCAGGTAGTTCACTGACTGAGCACTAACAACAGTACAGAACAGAGAATAGACATGTATAATCATATCAATTCAAGCAGACAAAATCCTGCAAATTTACATGCTTAATTTTACGTACCCGAATAGCCCGACTGACTTCAAAGGAACTAATGTGTAAAATTAAGCACATATGTAAAAGTGTTTGCAGGACAGATTATACAAACACAAATGTTAATATACATTAAGTGTCAAATATTTTATTTTTCCTGACAAAAATGATTGGCAATAGATAGGATCAGCACTTATTTACTTTTTAGAGTTATTTTTAATGTTAAAAGATGGCAAAATGGCAAACATGAATCAGTAGTAGAGTACCTACCGGTATGAAGACAAAGAAATGAGGTAGTTGAACACAGTAAGTCAAAACAAGCTAGAACTATTTATTGATTACTTAATAAACAACCAGGGGGAATTTGCCACTATAAATATATTTCAGTTAGGTATGTCTTTTCATACATGTGTACATACAGGATTACTTTTTGGTACATCTTGAAAATCCCCTCCCCACCTACCTATGTCAGATGACTCTGTTATTTGTCACTTATCAGTCTGAGTGCTAAATTACTTTTAGTCTCAAAGTAGTGCTTGCGACAGCTCTGCAGAGGGATGACCCTGGGAAGGATCAGGTTGTCCTCTAATGAACTGATTAGCCTTGCTACTCTGAGCATACATAATTCCACCAAATACAGCAAATTTTCAGGTAAAATTAAACTAAACTTCTTTCCTCCACACTCATTTCAAATCTGAAATCTTGACAACCTTACAAGGAGATGGTCCACAGAAAAATTGCAGTATAATCTTAAACAACTAAATTGACCACCTTGTGATTAAAATAAACAAGCATGAAAGTAAGCAAAAATCATGGAAAGAAGTTTAACTAGACATATATTTGCAGGAATATTGTTTCAATAAGCATTTTCAATTTTTCTTGACACAGAATCATATGAACTAAGGGGTTGTTAGTTAAGGAGCGACATCCAAATTAGAGTCAAATAAGGAAGGGAACGAAATTTATTAATATTAGTATTGCACTGGTAAATTTATTCCAATATAAACAGATTTCCTTTTAAACAAAAAAAAACAGCAAATACATTTATAAAGCACTGTATGTTTTCAGTGCAGTATTTAACCGAGGAAAATATACAACAGAGTCAACTTGCAGAATTCATGCTGACTTCAGTAGGAATACAGGGCATTTACTGGATCTGAACCCACATGTCTTAATACCAGACCATCGCAAATGCACCACAAAAACATGCAATAATGTATACAGCTCATCATCTCCCAAAAAGAAAAAAAATGACAACATAGTTACCAGATTATAAAAGTGGTATTTTAATGTATAAGGGCTACGAATATTTTAAGGCTGTTTAAGACCAAAATAAGTTATTCAGAAAAACTATATGCACATTATGCTAAATGTCACTTACGTATTAGTGTTCAGTCAAAAGAGTTAAGAAGTTTTAGAGGAGTATATTTACAAAAGAGTCATTAGGAAATGAAATCATCAGAAAAAACTACTAATACAAAATATTGAGGTTACACTGGAGAAAACTACAAATACAAAACTCTTCCCAATATTAAGCCTGACTTCTATTATGTACATGCACCACAACTGAAAGGTATATCATTCTATGACTTAAGTGTCAAATAAAATTTTAAGTGGTACCTGAATATGATCATTGGTTTCTATGGATTGCCAATGAAAGGAAGATTAAAATTAGCTAAGAATTTTCTCAAAATCTTAAAACTCAGTATTGCAGACATAGCACTTACAAAGTTGCAAAACTGTCATAGAACTGATTTAAACAAAAAGCTGGTCTAAACCTTAGCTATAGCAGACCTGGTGGTCCACTATAATTAACTAGGATGTGAGACACCATTTGCACCGTTTAACTTTCTGAGGCCAATCCCCCCCAATCCTAACAGGAGATTACAAAAAGGGAATTTTCTACTTGAAATATATTCCGTTAGGTATAACTTTTAAAATATTTTCACTCACAGAGGTAAATTTTCAGAATCCCCGCCCCATCCACATATATCAGACACTTCTGCTATTTTGGCACTAACTCATCAATCTAGTTAAACTCAGAATTAGTTTTGAGAGTCAGGACCAGTACCTTTAAAGTTCCAGGACTACTGGGCGTCCTGGAGTTAATACACCACAATCAGGGACATGCAATAGCAAACCTACTAGTCCTAAAATGCACATTATAGAAGCAGTAATAGCTACAGAGGGAACCTTGACAGGACACACAGGGTAAGTAAGGCTGACCCAGCAGGCAAATCAGCTGGTGAATGGTCTGCAAGCCCAGGGACCACACCATACAGGAGCTGCCTCCAGTAAACCCACATTCAAGACAGCTTTTAGGGCTCCCCTTTGTTTTTACAGTCATTTCTGACCTCCCCCAACTCCTCCCCACACACACTCCACCCCCACTGGCAACACACGCAACGACAGGTTAGCCCCCCCGCAAACCAAACCCCTCACCTGAGCCCTACACGGCGACGGTCTCCAGCCCTACACTCACCTCAGCGACTTGACAACCCCACGCTCGGCCCCCCAAGCACGGCGGCAGGTCCCCCTCCCCCCACTGACAGAAACACGTCCCCAGCCCGGCCCCCCTCTCCCAGCGGCACGTCTCTCCCCAAGGGACGCCCAGAACAGGGCCAATAGGGAGCAGCGGCTCCCGCAGCCCAGGACTCTCCAACTGGCACCAGTCACCGCCAGGAAGAGCCGGGCCGGGCCCCAGGACGCTGCGCCCCCAGAAGCCGGCTGCGGGCACCCGGGGGAAGGCGCCGGGCCCTGCCCAGCACTTACATTCTCCATGAGCCCAGGACTGGCCGCGAAACCGGCAGGGGCGGGACGGGACCGGACCGGGCCGAGCCTCCGGGGGCGGGGAGACCGCGGCGCTCTGTCCTCCCACAGCCCCGGGAACAACTGCAACTCTCGATAGCGGCAGCAGCAGGGCCTCGCTCTGGGCCGGACTCTGCCCGGGACAACTTCCGGGGCAAGCACCACAACTTCTTCCGGGGCCAGGGAGGGGGTGTGATTCTGGGAAGGGGCTCGGGGCGTCTCTGGCAGGGAGAGCCATGGGCTCACGCGGGGCGGGAGGAGCCGCTCATTGGGAGCACGCGCTTGGGGAGCGGGGGCCTCGCTCTCGCGCTAACAGTTTATCCCAAGTGCTGCCTGCCTGAGCTAATTTACATATTCCTACGTAACCCTGAACTCCAGCGCACGGGCCGTCGTGCGGGGCTGAGCCTGCCCCCCGCACCCCACCTGGGGTCGGGCAGGCGGCAAGATCTGGCGTGTCACCGCCCTGCTGGCGCAGCTGGACTCTCAGTGCACAATGTAGTGAGGCGCTTGGGCTGTGCGAGGGTCTGCGGGTCATCTCATGCTGGAGCCGCCCCAGGACACTCGGATCCTCGCGGCGTATTAAGCGCTGACAGTGGCTTTGATGGTGTAAAAGTCGCAGCCCATGCCTCAAAGAAATTGCTAAAGAAAACAGCTAAGCGGCCGAGGAGGAAGAACTAGGAATTTTGCGTGTGTCAGTTACTGTTTTCTGCTGGGCAACAGAGAAGGGCGTTTGCCAGGCCCATTCCTGAGAAGGGCTGCCAGAAGTTTCCTTGTAGAAACTTACTGATTTTGCACGTTTGAAAAGATGAGGCACAAGGGTTTTAAATTGCTTTTTCATTACTTGTGAATGGACACCAAGAAGTTGATTTCTGTAGTGTTTAGATGTTGTTTTATTAAGCTTCAAACACTGTAAAAATGTATCTTCATGTTCTTTTTAAAATGTTGATGTATATAAAATTATAAAGAGGGAGCAATATAGTTAATAAAATGAAGATGGAAAAAGGAGGACTGATGAAAATAGAAATGATGGGTGTGTCTACAGTGCAGTAGACACCCTCTGCTAGCTTCAGGGTTGTTTAATTGCAGTGTAGAGCAGTGGTTCTCAATCAGGGGTACCCTGGCGGTATGCAGAGGTTCTCTAAGGAGTATGTCAACTCATCTAGGTATTTGCCTAGTTTTACAACAGGCTACATAAAAAGCACTAGCAAAGTCAGTACAAACTAAGGGCATGGCTACACTTGCAGATGTAGAGCACTGAGAGTTAAACCAGCCCTCGGACAGTGCAGTAGGGAAAACGCTGCAGTGTGTCCATCCTGTCAGCTGCAAGTGCACTGGCGTGGCCACATTTGCAGCACTTGCAGCGGCATTGGGAGCGGTGCATTATGGGCAGCTATCCCACATAGCACCTCTTCCCATTCTGGCACTGTGGCTTGTGGGAAGGGGGTAGGGGGTGCGGGGCATTCTGGGTCCTGTCCCAACGCCCTGTGATGCATCAATTCGCATCCCAGCATTCCCTGTGCTTCCGTCCACATTTGGTGCTATCTTTCAACTTTTGTACTGTGCGCTCTGTCTTCCCTTTCGGTCTGTGGGAATGGATCCCGAAGTGCTGAGGAATATGCTGATGGGTCTCGCCAGCACGTCACGTTTGGCAGTCGAGTTACTCCTTAAGCTACAAACTGACAGTGAGAAGTCCGATGATGATATTGACTCGCATAACACATATGACACAAGATTGCTTGTGGCATTCACGGACATGCTCACCACCGCGGAATGCTGCTTTTGGGCTCGGGAAACAAGCACTGAGTGGTGGGATCACATCGTCATGCAAGTCTGGGATGACGAGCAGTGGCTGCAGAACTTTTGGATTAGAAAAGCCACTTTCATGGGACTGTGATGAGCTCGCTCCCACCGTGCAGTGCAACGACACGAGATTGAGAGCTGCCCTGCCGGTGGAGAAGAGGGTGGCTATGGCAATCTGGAAGCTGGCAACTCCACACAGCTACTGATTGGTTGCTAACCAGTTTGGAGTGGGAAAGTCGACTGTTGGAATCTTGTTGATGCAAGTTTGCAGGGCCATTAATCGCATCCTGCTCAGAAGAACCGTGACTCTGGGTAACGTGCATGACATTGTGGCTGGCTTTGCACAAATGGGTTTCCCTAACTGCAGAGGGGTGATAGATGGGACGCATATTCCAATTCTGGCACCACCCCACCTAGCATCCAAGTACGTTAATCGGAAGGGGTATTCCTCTATGGTTCTCCAGGCGCTTGTGGATTACCATGGGCGTTTCATTGACATTAACGCAGGCTGGCCCGGAAAGGTGCATGATGCACGCATCTTTCGGAACACTGGCCTGTTCAGGAAGCTGCAAGCAGGGACATTTTTCCCAGACCAGAAGATCACCGTAGGGGAAGTCGAAATGCCCATTGTGACCCTTGGAGACCCCGCTTACCCTTTAATGCCGTGGCTCATGAAACCCTACACAGGGAGCCTTGACAGCAGCAAGGAGCAGTTCAACAACAGGCTGAGCCGGTGCAGAATGACTGTGGAGTGTGCTTTTAGCCATTTAAAGGGCCGCTGGCACTCTCTGTATGGGAAGCTGGACCTGGCTGATGACAACATCCCCGCAGTTATATCCGCGTGCTGTACCCTCCATAACATTTGTGAAGGGAAGGGAGAAAGATTCACTCAGGCATGAAACTTGGAGGTTCAACACCTGGAGGCTGAATTTGAACAGCCAGAGAGCAGGGCTATTAGAGGGGCCCAGCGCGGGGCTGCAAGGATTAGGGATGTCTTGAGGGAGCAATTTGAGGCTGAAAGCCACCAGAAATGTTTGGTGCCCTACACGGGAGTGAAGTGCAGTGGTTTCAATGTTAGTAGGAATCTGTGCTTGCTACACTGACTTGCAGTGCCTGTTGCTTTCCTGGGCTAAGGTATCTTTTACTTAATGCATTAATAAAGAATGTTTTCAAAGCCAATTATTTAAAAGAAAATTATTGAAAAGAAACACAACTGCTTGGGAGACAGAAAGGGTAAGGGGTGGGGAACTGTTCAATCACAGATTTGCGTATGTCCTGTTCTCATACTCAGCCTTCCTGTCTGGAGTGCTATGCAATGAGTGCTGCACTTCAGGCTGGCTAAAATGCATGATGATAGGGGTTGAGTGCAGTGGGTAAAGGTCATAGTTTGCAGGGCTGGGTGGTGAAGCTACAGGTGTTGGAGGCAGCTGGTGGCGATAAGAACCTGGATGTTGGGGATAGTGGGTTGGCAGTGACATGGGGGCGCAAGGGAAACAGTTTTGAGACAAGGGCTGCGGGGGGGAGGGCGCGGTAATGCTCCACCTGCATGACTACAAGCGCCTGGATCAAGTCCGCTTGGCGCTTCATAATGCTTATTAGCCACTCCATGCTGTGGTGCTGGCGCTCCATGCTTTGGTGCTGGCATGCCGCATTCTGCTGGTGGAACCTCCTTTCACCCTTCCTCCATTCCTGCGCTTCTTGATTTTCATGGACTGCTGCATTATTTCATGCAGCATGTCTTCTTTGCTTCTATGTGGCCTCTTCCTAATTCTTTGGAGTCTTTCGGACGGTGATAACATGGACGGCTGAGATCTCAAGGTTGCATCTGTAAGGCAAAATGCAACACTTAACAGAGGCAGCATTGTTCCTACCAGACAGAGGAATGATTTGCCCATACTTAAAGACAAGCACAGTCTACACAATAGCAGAATTTGCCCGTCCCAAAGCAAGCGCACATAACCCACAGGAGCCCCAAAATGGTGAGTAAGCACAGGGTTCGGGGGGGACTGATTGTTTCACTGCTGTACTGTCCTCTGGGGCTCTGTGCCTTGGGGAGAGCCAGTAGTTGCAGTGGGCCCCTATACTGAACACTGTCCCCACATTTTCCACAGGAGTTCGTCCTGGAAGATATCTCACTGCTGAGGGTGACCTGGGAAGCAAGGGAGTGTCTTCTACTACAATGTGGCTTCCGCCCTGGCCCATATGCAACTTGCCTGTGTGCAGCAATGGTACCCCTGCCCGTCACAGCACAGTGGCGCGGACATGTTAGCCTGACTGGGACAAGGACCACAGTAGCGCTCCCAAGGAACCTGTGCAAGCGCATTGCACAGCTTCTGGAGGAGACCTTTGAAGAGATCACTTGAGGCCGATTACCGAGATGTGAGAGAGCACATCAACAGGGCCGGTGCTTCAACTAGGCGACCCTAGGCGGTCGCCTAGGGCGGCAGGATGTGGGGTGCAGCATTTTGCCGTCCTCGGCGGAAATTAGGCAGCGGGGGGTCCTTCCGTTCCAGGTCTTCGGTGGAAATTCGGCGGCGGGTCCTTCACTTGCTCTGGAACCCGCTGCCGAAGTGCCCCGAAGACGCGGAGCGGAAGGACACCCGTCGCCAAATGCTCAGAGGAGGAGCACTGCCGCCTAGGGCGGCAAAAACCCTGGCACCGCTCCTGCACATCAACACCCTATTCCGCATGTAGGCATGTGTGCAGCCCTAACCCTCCTCGTCCCAAGAGCCTGCAACGAATAACTTCCTTCCCAAAATAAAAGCCACTTGCCGGGCATGTCCTCTGGTGTTTGTCCTTCCCCAAGCACCAGCCACTGTGACTGGCTACCTTCCTCCTGGCTTGGGAACAGCTCCTGGCTGCATGCATCTAGGGATGCTGGGGTGTCTTCCTCCTCCTCAGCACCCTCGCTCCCACTTTCCTCCTCTTCCTCCTCCTGCCTTGTTGAACTGGGCTCTAAAGTGTCCATGGTGGTCCTCAGAGTGGAGGTGAGGTCGCCCTCCAGTATTGCGTCCAGCTCTTTGTAGAAACAGCAGGTCGCGGGGGCAGCACCAGAGCGGCGGTTTGCCTCGCGGACTTTGCGGTAGGCACTCTGCAGCTCCTTCACTTTAATCCTGCACTGCAGCACGTCCCGGTCATGGCCCCTTTCCATCATGTCCTTGATATCTGCCCAAAGGTATCGTAATTCCTACGGCTGGAGCGCAGCTGGGACTGGACAGCTTCCTCCCCCCAAACACTGATGAGGTCCAGCACCTCGCCATTGCTCCATACTGGGGATCACCTGGCACGTGGAGGCATGGTCACCTGCAAAGATGCACTCCACGCCT